TGAATGGTGAAGGAGAAGGAGTAGGATTAATGATCTAAATGTGCTCACTAATAAAGTCTCTAGTTTGACTGTTAGGTAAAAGCTAAAGTTAATGGATCATGAACGTTCAAACTTTTAAAAAATCAACATGTCATCAAATCCACAAGCTTCCTACTGGCTCACTTAACAGATATAAAAAGATATTCTTCCTTATCTATGCCTATGTAGTCCTAAAAGATACAGACTAAGCAACAGCCTTTATTGGTTGGTCGAACTAGTTTGTGCTTCATTGATTTGTAGAACATCATTGGAATCAACAAGGCTTTGTAAGGTGATTAATGCTAGAAAGGTTGAAGCTGTCTGACATCTGCCACTCTTGTTGATCAATAGAACAGAAGAGTTTTTTGGCTATTAATGACATACAAAGTAGTGTTTATGACATTATAGTCACTTCTCAGACTTCAGTCCTTAGTTCTTATTGTCATAGTTCTAGTTATTTTAATTGTCTTTGTAGTAGAAAGTGAGGAAGTTCATGTCTGCATGTCAGAGGTTGCCTATAATATAATATAACGTGACCTTCACAGCAGAGAGGGAAAATGACAGATGTTTAGACTGGTGTTCTTCCTTTCTGTTTGACTAACTGTGAAGGAAGTTTGCAGCAAGTCACATTAACAGATCCCTGCACAGTTGGGCACACAATGTAAATGCTTTGATGATCTTTTTGTGACTTGCATTTAAAATGTTGCTTTTACCCTTCAGTTACTACTGAACTGCTTATTCTTTCCCATATGTACACTGCAATCAGAATTAGCATTTAGCTATTTCCCAATCTATGCACCACAGCTTGGTATTGAGCAAAACTATTTAATATTTGTGTAAACAGTACATTGTAGGTTTCCTATGATTGACATAATGCAACATTCAGTTACAGGTCTGCGTGTTTTATAAGTATTCAAAATAATTACCAGAGAGGGTAAAAAAGCAATATTAGTGTCAACTTTCCTTGGTAAATGAGATTTCCAGCTTCTCTGCAGATTTTATGTTATTTTCCTCCTGTTTTCATTGTTATGGCCAGATAAGGGAGAATCAGCTTGCCTCTTTTTAAACCTGTCTCAGTTGGTCTAAAAATTTTTTTAGTAAAACACATAGGCATCACACTGCAAGTAAATTAACTTGATCAAAATTAAGGAGCCAACAACAAGGCTTTCTCGAGGGAAAGGAAATGAAATTTTATTATCTACTTATCTCCAGGAACCATCTCTCTCCAGGACTTGGACATGGCCGGTTGGCCACTTGCTGTGTTCATAGGGAGAGATTCTGTATCACTGCAGTCAGGAGAGCAGGCCGTGGTCAGTCCTGCAGGTCCAGTGCAACCAGTAATTTGCAGTAAGTCAGTCCAGTATTCGCACAAAGAGCAGTCAGGGGCCTGGTCACTCATCAATGATGGCTGTAGGTGGAAAATGACTTGTGCTGCATGCACCAGAATGAGGTCTTTTATGTTAAAGGTCCACTTACAGGCATTCCATTGGCCCTCCTTGTTAGAATACCACTATATCAAGGACTATTCTAAACTGTTATTTATCAGTGAAGCCTGCTCATGTTAATAAGGACCTGCTCTGTTTCTGGTATTCCTCACAAAGGTTCATTGGGAGTGTGACCAATACATCCAGCCACAGCAGGGGTTATGGTGACAGTGGCTGCAATGCTAAGAAAGCACAGATAAATGGAGGAGCTACACATGTGTCAGCATCCACAGATCTCCAGATGCTGCCAAATAGAAATAGCAGCTGAAGGAGCTGTCACGTACTAGAAGCCAAGAGTCTATCATTCTCAATGCCATTTCCTCCAGCTGAGTGAGGCGCATTGCAGCTACAGACCCAGGACTCTGTCACACAACTTATGTAAACTGTATGGGAAATATGACCAGAAGGGATGGGTCACCATTCAGTACCGGCGGCTGACAAGGTGACAACTTTGCTAAATTGTTATGTAGCTGGCTGCTTCCAAGGATCCACCAGGGACCTTGGAGGGATACCTCAAATCCACAACCCATACATATATCAAGGCTGTTCCCAATGCAGTCTCTACCAGTCCAAACCAATTCAGCTCATTTCCCCATGAGGAAGTCAATGCTGCAGCCTGGGCAGTTGACTTTGCAAATGTAGATGGCTTCCACCTAAGCAGGGTGATATAGACTGTACACATCACATTGAGAGGGCCTTAACATAATGTGACTGACTTCACAATAGGAAGTGTTTCCATTCTAACAATGTACAATCCACTGTGATCATCAGTACCACATCTTAGAATTCTGCATCATTTGCGTTGAAAGCTGTCATGATACTTATACCCTTAAAAACTCTGATATTCCTACTTTGTTTCAAGAACTGGATGCCTTTCAAGGATGGTTACTGAGGGTCAAGGACTACCTTCTCCAAACCTGGATGATGACTCTGTTACACGGTCCCTTAATCCAGGCCGATGCTCTGTTCCCTATTTTTCAACCAGGCCATCATGAAGCAGATGATAGGTCTTCTGAAGATTAGGTTCTGATGCTTAGATCAACCTGGGAAAGCCTAGCAGCATATCCCATGGAGAGAATGTGCTACATAATGCTAGCATGCTGTGGGGATGTGATGGACACTTGGAGACCTGGGGGAGGGGCAGCGGTCTTCTGAGGAGGAAGATGAGGCCAATAAGCAGGAGCAACATCACCTTCAGCATGAGAGAAACAGCTGTGAAGCATTTGGTACGACAAGCCAGTTAGGATTGAACTGGCACAGAGTTCCAGTACTGAAAGCTGGATACAGTGAGCACTTGATTTTGTAAATATTGTTGTGCAAAATGCAAGTAGCCCTTGTTTATTCTTAGAAACAAATGCAGATATTTGTTTTCTTTTTCTTTCACTTTTCCGCTTTCTAAATAAATTAAATATTTTCAACAATTTCAAGGTTTCCCAGTATGTGATATTCCTGAATTGAACAATGAGAAGATTATAGGCTACACTAGGTGTTAGGGAAAGAGTAGCACTCCCTGTGATAGGGCTCTAACACAGTATTGCACTAAGGATGGGTAGCCTGTGTAGTTTGACTCTTGTCACTGCGGTTACAATGACGGTCCATCAAATAGATGATGCTTTATGAATATGAGCTTTTATGTGCCCTCTTTTCTGTTTCCCTTCCACACTGTGCATTGTGAAGAGCAGGTCTTGGCTGGCAATGCTTCATGTAGCGGCTCTCTTGTTAGAGATGGTTATAACCATAGCCCCAAACTAAATCCGGAGGATAACTGCAACAAAATACAAGAGGATTTTAATAGAGTTGTAGAGTGGGTATACAAATGGCAAATAAGTTTCAATGTATCTGGTGATGCATTTTGATAAGAAGAATAAGAAGACAACCTGCAAGTACCTCCTGCAAAACCACACACCATTTTGACTTGGAACAATATATCTATTGCTTCACTTGTTGCTGGGTAAAGAGAATTCCCTTCCTACACCCCAAGGATCACAACAGTACAAGATGGTGACTCAACAACGCCTTCTCAAGAGCAGTAAATGATAAGGAATAATTGTTGGCCAAGGTTGGCAATGCCCACATCCACGGTACAATAAAAATATCTCCTTGGAAAATAAGAATACAAATAGCACAGGGGAGGTAAAAGACTGCAGATTCAGGCAACATTGAAAATAGCAATCCAGATTAAAACGATTGGAAATGGAAACAAAAACACTGGCGTTCATTATGAGAATTATAGAATTAAAAACTAAGAAGATCACATTATCAATTTTACAATAGCAACTTTATAATTATGGGAAAAATTTTGCTTGCTTTGAAATACTTCAAAGTCTGCACTTATTTACAGAATTCCACATCTTAACAATCTCGAGGAATTAAACACTGACCTGATTCATTCAGCCTGCTCTAAAATTATTGAAATAAATCCAACAAGTGGTGTGTTCAAAGCTCTTGAAACCACATGGTCAACTGGTCATGGCCATGCAGCAAAAACTGAGCCATCATATGCTGGAATATGTGTGTTCAGTCATCTGCTGTTAAAGGAGGATAACTTGATACTTTAATTCCAAATAATAAGCC